CTTGAGCAACGTTGACCAAAGTGTCCATTTGTATACATTTTTGGCACCCCTGGGGTATGTGTGTGTGTGTGTGTGTGTGTGTGTGTGTATAATTTAGCCATATAAAAGGAAATCCTGTCTTTTTCCACAATTCAGATGGACATTATGTTAAGTGATATAAGTCAGACAGAGAAAGACAAATACTGTAATATCTCACTTAGATGTGGAATCTAAAAAATCCCAAACTGGAACATACAGAGATCAGATTGTTGGTTGCCAGAAGCAGGGGGTTGAGCATGGATAAAATGGGTGAAGGTGGTCAAAAGGTAAAAACTTCCATTTATAAGATAAATAAGTCCTGGGGATGTAATGAACACCATGATGACTATAAAACAAATCATTTTAGTTGTTGGAAAAATTTATTTTTGTACTCCATCTTGTTCCTTGCCAATGTCTAATTCTGTGGTATTACTGTTGGGAAACCCCTGATTTCCAACTGGAACATGTTCAAGAGTTTCATGAATGATTTTGTTATTCAGAATGAAAAACACATTTTTCCATATCAATCTTGTCTTTTGTAATGGTTTAAGATAAACCAACAAAACATACAAGTAAACTAATAGGATAGTGGATCTGTAGATGAAGCCATCAGTGCATTCAAATCTCCAGCTACCTATCTACTAATCCTGCCCTTGGGAAAAAATTGACCTCACTATGAGTTCCATATTAGACTCAAAAGATACAGCAACCAGTGTGTTTTTATTAGCAGGATATGGAATATTTTTTCCCCCATTTCAGTCTACTGAATGATGGGAGCAGAAAGTTTCATGGGACTGTGAATGCTATAGAGGCTCTGACTTTGGGGTTATCCTGGACAGGAAAGTACAGGTGGAAGGGGATGGGTGGGGGTTTCATGGGAGCTTATCTTCTCAGGTGGCAGAACAGCCTACATCTAAAAGTAGTGAAAGGAGTGAAACCTTGGTTGGTAGAAAGGGAGGTTAGACAAAGCTGGAGCCATGAGTCATACATGAAAGCTGTTCCTTTGTTATTCCATTTAGAATTCAAGGTCTGCCTGTATTACAAAAAGGTGAAAAAAATTAACTTATCTGAATCATCAGCTAAAATGTTTTATTTCAACTAAAACTCAGTTTATGGCTTATGATTATATTCATGTTTGTTGAAGCTTAAATTCAAATATTAAAATATATTAAATTCAAATATATGTTCTTGCCAAGAATATTTTCTTCATATTGGTTGATCCACAAAATACCTCACATTTTCATAGTTAAGTAAAATTTTCAACATCTGTGAAAATTGATAGCATGTGTGTCATTCTTAATTACAAGCAATACTACTTTTAAATTTGAAATATGTAGAGGAAAATATAAAAGTATTACTTTATGATATGCAATTGCCTCTCTTCCTGTACCATCTTTCGTTCAATCTGTCCCACACTGCTCTCAGATTAATTTCTCAGATGGGTTCCTGTTACATGCTCATTGCTTTCTATTGAAGGTCCTCTATAATTTAGTTTCATCTTAAGTTATCAAATCTTATCTCCCACCAAGTTTGGACAAGAATCTGTGTTTCCTTATAGTGGATTCCTCACTGATCCCAGAACAGTACACACCATTCTAATTTCTTACTCTCAGGGTTAGCTGGTGCTGATCTCTTATCTTCACCCTTCATCACTCAGTCCTACTTGTTCTCTGGAGCACCATTCAAGTTTAATTATACTGGCCCATTATTCATGCATATACAATGTTCTTTCTCTCTTATCCTTTGTACCATACATATTGGTATTTAATCATTTAGCATTTACAGTGGCTACTAATTGTTTATAAAGTAAACCCTGTTGCTTCAATTGTAAGTTGCTTATTATATAAAGAATTATTTTCAATGTTAGATATTGAATTGCACCTAAATGATGGCTTTTAATCTTAATTTTCCTCTTTGACTATTTAAAATAGATTTGTGTGTGTGTGTGTGTGTGTGTGTGTGTGTGTGTGTGTGTTCATGTTGCTCTGGAATTTAAAAAATCTTCATATCCTGCTACCCTCAAATTGCATGGCAATCCGAGACAAATTCTACCATATTTTTTTGCATAAATTTTATCCAAAGTAGTATGGGTTTGACTTGCTTTTAAAAAAGTCATCCAAAGGTGAATAAATAGTCCCACAATCATAACATAATGAATTGTCACGGCATGGCCTGAAACTTTATTAGTTGATTTTAACTTCATTTGTGCTTATTGCAATGCATACTGGTCACCATAGCTCTCTGATCCAACTGAGTGAGGTAAGTTGTTGATGGAACATAGATAAATTCAAGGATTTTAATAAATATGCTTGATATCCTAGTTAACCTTACCATTGATAAATTAGTACATTTGCCTTCCTGGAATTTTGGCCTCCCATGCTTGTAATGTATCAGGATTTAAAACAGGGTCCCTGGTCTGTGTCCTCAGTTCTATTATCATTCAGTTTAAAACCAGAAACTTTAGAGAAGGATTGCAGTGTAACTGAGATAAGGTGTAGAAACACAAACTCTTACATGTCCAGCATGAAGTTGAGAAAGGGGACCTTTGGTTTAAGCCATTAAATAGCTGGGCTTCAGAATTACCACTGACACCTAGGCATTCATATTTGAAATGATTACCACCCTCCCCAGTGATAGCCAACGACCTTCATACCTTTCTTTTTATATCTCATAATTTAGCTACTCATATACTTCAAGAGAGTTGAACCAGATGAAATTTTAAAAAAAGAAGCCCACATTTGATTTCAGTAATTTACTGACAAAGAAAAGCAGACGTGTTTTGTGTGTATATATTGGGCGTGTCACACATGCATGCACATGAGTGCAAAGAGGAATAAAACTATGCTGATTCATTTTACATTACCGGTGACATCTGATGAATTTCTATCATTTTAAAATAAGGAGTCACTTAGCTACGTGTGTGATTGTCGGTAGTTTTCCTCCATCAAGTTCAATTTGAAGTGGCAACATTTTGGTTCAATATCAGTTTTGACCCTTCTAATATCAAGAGATGCCCCTTGGCATTATAATTGTTCAAATATTAATTGTGTGCCTACCTTTGAGATATCAGTCTATTGATAGTCTTTGAAGACCCTTCTACTCGCTCTTTAAACTAAAATTCCATTATAAGTTATTTTTGGAACATCATCCACAGAGACACTTTTCCCTGAGTAAGAAAGCACAATGTTCATGTTTGTCAGTGGAGGGGAAATTTCATGATCAAATCCCTTGGGGTTCATTTACACATATGTTAGTTGGAAAGAGTGACAACAATTCACTCTTTCCTGAAAATGGTTAGGTGCTTTGAATGGTATGAAAAGAGAACTTTATACTATGTAATTATAGATGAAGGTTCTGAGTTTCTCTGGAGGTGGGAGCAGTTGTGTTCCCCAACTACTGTTCCACAAGTATTGAACTTGAGATCAGAGTCCCTGAAGTTGCATGAGGCTGGTCCAGCTCCTCCAGCCACAGTCTCAGGATGAATATAAACCATGTTCTCCGAAGAGAGTGCAAGGGCAATGGTGTAACACTGGTTCTCCCAACCCTAAAAGAAGGTTTGTACATCAGACAGAATTGATACACAGTAACACCATTGCCCTGTGATGAATGAATTCCTATCCTGTACCCATTCCTTTTATTAAGGTGAGGAGGAGGATGTGGAAGGGTGGTCAAGTGTTTGCATTAAAATGACAAGCAATCCTATCCCAGGAAACTTGGAGGTGCAGCTGGGCTTCACTCCCAGCATTTTCCTTGCTCACTCTCTCCAGATGGGCCAATGAAGTTGGCTCCAAATAAGCAGGGGATTCCTATAGTTGCCTCTACTTCACAAGAAGTCCCAGCCATCACTTGACCCAGAATTGAATCACCCCCATCAATGTTAAGACAGTGTGATAACTGCTACCACAAGAGGCTAAACCACAGACAGTATTGGGCTCCTGCACTTCTGAGAATTGGGCAGCTAATGACAGGCTTCCTCTGGTCATTATGTTAAGTATTAAATAATGCAACCTTGCATATCATGTGATTGGCTATTTGATACCCTGCTTATCATGCTATGGTGGGGGAAAGGGCATACTGCTAGAGCAGGCCTGCTTAGCCAACAAAAAAAACCCTTAGGGATCTTTCACCTCTAGAGCAAAGAAAGAACTTATATTCTTCTCAGGACTGCTAAAACTTCCATAAAAGAAGATGGTGAGGAGATGATGAGGAAACATCTGTGGATGTTTCAAACTTGAAACACAGTTCGAAACTTGAAGACCTATAGTTGTGGGCTGGCTAGCTAGAAGCACTGTGGGATACCATACACCTTTCACAAGACAGGGTGAGAAGCTGAAATGGTACCATATAGGAAAAACAGAGAGGATCCTTGGTGAACCAGAATTTGGTAGGCTCCAGAATTGTAGTGGAAATGAATCAAGGAGAAGGTGAAGACAGATTCGATAAAGTGTAGGGGAGGACTGTGGCATTAGGTTTTTTTTCATTAAGCTGTAATGGATATTTGGATGTACAAGGAGACCTAGACTTTCTTTGGGCCAGAGTAGACATATACCCCTTCTTGTTTTTGTTCTTCTTGTTCCCCACTGAAGGCGGTTTGAGAAGAAACTTTTTAGAAATAATAGATACTCAGAAAAGATTTTTCATTCTTGATTTCACCATATTTTTCCTGCTTCTCAATACAACCCTTGTTCCTAAAAGCAGGTTAAGCACACACAGCCAGGAAAAGGTAATCTGGTGTGATTCAATAGAAGAACCAATGACAATGCTGTTGGCCTATGTACACAGCTGAACTGAAATAAAATGCATATTCATATTTTTTTGAAAATAACTGAACCAGAGGAAGCTTTCCAAACACCTTCCTAGTTCCTATATTTTGATTTGCATGAGAACTCTCCTTCAATGGCTATAGTTGGCAATTTGAAAATAAAAACTCAGTGACAATTGACAAAGTCAAAATGCTTTTATTTATACTGAAGTTTAGCAAGTACATTTTTAACAAAGAAGGTATACTTTAACTTAATATATGGTAGAACAGAGAAACCATACATATAAGTTTCTAGTCTCTAACACACTACCGCATTTTTTCCCTTAAAAGACAAAAAGCGAACTGAAGTGAGCATAGAAAAGCATCAACTATGGTCAAGTTACTTTAGCCATGAGAATTTAGCTCATATTCTTAATCTGGTCAATCTAATGTGAGAACAAAGTTTACATCATTGCTTTTAAAATGTACACACGTTCCTTTTTTTATAATGCAATATAGATTGAGTAGCTGCTTCAGTAAACAAAGCTTTGATGATAAACACAATTGAAATAATGCCATGTTGCACAGTTTCAGAGATAAACTGGAATCACAAGCTTCTTCATTTATGTAAAGTCAGCAAGGACTTTTCAGGCCCAATAAAACTGATGTACCATTGTTAAACAGTAATAGTTATCCCCTTAAAAAAAAAAGAAAACAAGTTAGTTCTTCTGAGGAGTACTTCTGATATGTGCATCAAAATACCAAAATTCTGTCTCCAAGAAACTAAAGGATCTGATGTAACAGGCTTGCTTTAGTATTGGTAAAATTTTTAATTTCTTAACATTTCTATATGTTAATGTCTCAGTTTTCAAAGATCCTTCAAATTTCATGCAGTAGTTTTTTCTGTTCTTTCCACGGCACTGAAGACATTGAAGACTGAAGATTCTTTTCATAAACTGTGATGTGTATAGTAATCTACATTACTTTCTGTTTTGTACATAATGGTATATTTGAGATCCCTATGTTTTACCAAAACAGGGGAAAAGGAGTATCTGGTTATGGTCTCAGGTAATGACAGTTTTGTACATTTAGAATTTCCTTTCCCCAGGTTAACCCTGAGACTGTGTATACTGCATGAAGGGAAACTAGTTATGAATATGATTTTATCCACAGTGTTTGGTTAAACCAGTTTCTATTTAAATATTGGTAATCAAAATAATCCATACCATGCTAAAGCCAGAAAATATTTAATGGTGTGGGTAAAAATTATAATTGGAAACAATTTTCAAAAAATGATTCTACCTCTTTTTAGCTAACCTTGTTCTTTTCCATAGCCATGGCTTGTGGCCTGAGTCTCTATCCAGCTACCTCATAAAAATTGGCCTATGGTCACAAAAGAAGAACCAGAAAAGAAAGTATGGATGATCAGTTCAAATCTATCACCCATGCTTAAGAAACACAAAGTCTATGTTTGTAAGTGAAATGTATCATCTTCACACATAAAGGTGAGTACATTATTGTAGTTGGACTGATATGCCTAGCCTAAAACATTAATTTGGTCTAGTCCAAGCTTAGCACTGTCAGGAAGAAAATACCCTTTTTTAGACTTGTATATAATATCTTTAAAATATTTATTATTTTTGTGTAGAAGGTAAAGTGTGGTATCAGGGATTTTCTGGATAGTACCTCAGAACCAAAAATAAAGATGTGGTGAGGTAATAGGATAACAAAATAATCTGTGTCTATGTTAGTCAGGTGAACTGGAGGGTCAGACTTCATTAGAGGGCAACTAGACTATGAGCCCATGGAATTTACCTGAACCTTTCCAACAACCAGAAGAAAACAAAGTATGAATTTTTGGAAACTGTAGTCATCGGTCACCCCAGAGAATTGTTCAGACACCCTGTGGGGTCTGAGAATATTTATTCTGATAAAATGTACCAGATAGTTGCTCAGTTTTTCAGTCTACCTCATCCTCTGCATACATAGCCTAAATGTCAAAATAAAGTTCTTCAACATCAAATGGCAGACAGTCATTTTACCAGGATTGAAATTTATACAATATAGCTAAAGCTTAAATCATGCAATACAAATTGTGAACATTACAAACTTGAAAGTAATGACAAAACAAAATAACATCCTGTAAAAAAGGTACATAAGCATAGTAACAAATGCCAAGAAGCAATCATCATTTGTCCTTTAGAAAAATGAAATTTCTGAGTCTCCCTCCTTTATTATGTATAATTATTATCCTTATAAAAAAACACAAACATATCTACCCACATCCTTCATTAAATGTGCTGTTTTATAAGGCCTATCTGAAACCATTTCCACAGCAGATCAAAAATCCACAGAAACACTAGGCCAGCAAAAACAAGACAGCATTAATATAAATCAATTTTTCTACCCAGAATACAATTAAGTTGAGATTTCATAGTAGTAAAATTTTTTCTCCTAATTTAGAAGATAATAGGAACATGGAATCTTGCATAGCAGGCTGTATGGTGTCGACACAGATTCTGTTACTGTTTTACATATGCCGATATTGAGTGATCAGAAGGAAGGAGCTGATATTGACCTGCTAACTGACACTGATCCTTGGAGCAATCTCAAAGTTTGCCACATTTCAATTTCAGAATGCATTTCGCCTATAATATGAGTGATTTATCATTTAGTAGTAGCTGTCAAAGTAAACTCCTAGATAAAACAAAAACATCTGGAACCATAAACAGAGGAGAGCAGTAGCTGAATTTTAATCCAAACCCTGCATGCTCACTTCATTAGGAACAGGAAACAGCTAATTAGTAATTGAATGTTTCATGTTTTTAAGAGGGTTTGTACTTGAGTTCCAAACAGAGATGATCTAATATGCATTCTGGGCACAAACAAGATTAAAGATCAGGAAGAGCAAGGAACAAAGCCTCTCCAGAGTGATGTTAGGGAGCCCAGGGACTTACATGGAGTGACATCAGTGGGGAGCGGACAGAGTTTATTGCTTTAAGATTTATCAGATAAGTAAAAGGGGGAATTTGACACACACAAAGTGATCATTTTAAAAATAAAATGAAGGCCCATGGAGTCCTTCCCTTAGCACATCACGGCCTCACGTGAGGATACACCATGACCCAGGTGTCTGGTATGGCCACCTCCATACAGATGATGAGCCTCTGCCCATCAGTCATGTCCTAAAGGGCCACAACTGACTGTTCCAAATTCAGGTTAGTGTGAGCCTGGCCTTCTGTGGTATATATCTGAAGCTTAAGGAAAGCGAAAAGCTAAAATTAGATGTCATTAAAAAGGCAGACATGTGGGAAAGGGCCAGAAGAAAACAAATAAGGATTCCTCATAGTCAAGCAGTCAATTAAACATATTTATTTGTAAAAAAGACACTAGTTTGTTTTGAAGTGTCTTAGTTAATTTGAAAATGCCATTCAGTTTCCCCTATAGTTCAATATATGCTATTTGCCTATCAAATAATGAGACATTTCTGGATGTTATATTTTAGTCATACCACTTGGTTTTTCAATTCACATGTTTGGTATTAATGTAATTTAAAACAATTTCATTTGCTTCAGTCCTTCTCCATGACTTATTTCTAATTTGCATTAGCTCAGTGAATTAGGTTAAAGCAGCACACCTAATCTACACAAGTAGACCTTCTACAGTTTGTAGAGAGCACCAGAAGCCAAATGCCTGCACCTTAGAAGGAATTCTTTCAGAGAATGGAATGACTGGATTGTCACATAAATATGAATTAGTGTAATATTTAAAAGTGTGTAAGGTAGGTGGCCCTTCCAGCAGAAACTGCATGTACTGCCACAGGGAACTGATTATTGGAAAATGGATAAAAACTCAGTTGGCCTCTTACATACGATAAATGGTGCTTCTGTCACAACAGAACTTAATTCTCAGGCAGATGTAAAAATAACGTAATGGATTTGATTTTGCTTGTGTTAAGGAGGGCACTGTAGGAGGGGCATTAAATCTTTTTAATCACCAGAGTACAATTTAACACCCTGGAATTCTGCTCTATTAGATTCTTAGGAGGCATGAAAATAATGATGACAGGTATTTGCCACCAGCCTTTGGCCAGGTCTCCATTAAGTAAACAGTTAAAAATATTTGAGGCCATTTCCTGGGCAATTCAAGCCAAATGACCCATTTGGTTCTAATCACTGGACCATCTTAGGCATCAGGCCATGTGTAGACCAGAGGGTGGGCAATGGAAAATATCTGTGGTGTGACCGACCCATCATATCTGCCTTTCTCCTTTCATATGTCTATAGATTTTTTAGTTTGCTTGATGATAGCTTAATAGAGAGGAAGCAGAATTGGAGATGGGAAGAGAGCAGAAAAAAAATGGGGTAGTTTTAGTACCTTGGATATGTGTTTTTGTCATTACGTTCTTTACAGATAAGGAATATGCTAGTAGAAAGGAATTAAATGAGTTGCTCCACCATCAACAGATCAAAGGGAGAACTAGGTGTGGTAAAATCTACAAACTAAAGCTCTCTATGTTCCCTCAGAGTGTGCTACAAGCAACATGTATCTTTTAGAAAGGTGAGCTCTAAAACAGTCATAACAAATAGTGATCATTTGCACAAATTATGTTCACACATAATTCCTGTTAAATCCCAGGTCAGCCAAATGTAAAGCTATTTCATAGTAATCACAGCTTAAAATGGGCATATCTGCATTTTAATTTCTGTTACAGCAATTAGAAATAGCATTTTCTCTGTCTTAAAAGTTCTTCCACCTACTTACCCCTCTAGGATGCTGTGTGGATTAATATGGTAACATTTATGAAGCACTATGAACTCCATGGAAGAGAGGGATTATAGAAGTGTAAAGTTATATTCAATCATCATTATGATTATCCCCTAAAAACGTGTGAAACCCATCCTCTAGCACATTTTTCCTGTACGTGCAAGGTTCTATTTATTGGTAATGAACAAATAGTAATTGAAGGTTCCATATTTTAAGAATTTGAGTATGGATTCTAAAGAATTACAGCACTAGATAAGCAGGTAACTGCTACAGACACTATCCGTGCCTATGATCAGGTCGTATTCCGCCATCAGTGTTCAGGCTGCACAGGAAAAAACAATAAGACTGGGTCAAAATTTCATTCCAACAGAAAAAATCCAAAATCTACTCAATGAACTCACTGAAAACCACAAACTGGCTTTATAGTATTTTGCGGTGCTATATATGTCCAAGACTTGAATAAATCTGTGTGCAATAAATGTATTATTTTATTAGGCTTATTCCTTAATCATATATTCACTGATGTGAGTCTCATTCTATTAAAAATGAAATTATACAAAGGTGAGAAAACTGTAGATTTACAGTAGTTTAAAGCTTAATCTTATTGTCTGGGGGTGATATTGACAATATAAAAACTGTGTAAATGATATTCCCTAACTTTAAAATATACTTATGAGCCCCTTGTGCATGTTCTGCTGCTTTACAACCTGTGGTGAAATGCATGAATAGTTTAATAAGCAAGACATTTAAAAAGGTTTCCCCCGCCCCAATCCCCACCCTTTCACGGTCTAAAACATGAGTAAAAGATCCACACCATTTTCTCTGAGTTGAAATCTTTGTTAATGATTGCAATTTCCCCTCAGGATGAGATTTCCTTCCCTACAGAATGGTTATTTAAAAGTAACTTCTCACTATTTGTTTTTTTTAAACTGCCAAGAAATGTGTCCATAATGTTTTTGAAGGTTTAAATTGATGTTTAGAAAAAAATTATTTTTCCTACCCAGAGCTCATGTTTTCTTCCAAGTGTTTCCTTAACTCTTATTCACTTATATAAACAATTGGACTTCCTTAAGAACTAACAGGCATTACAAGCATACTTTGGGCTATCAAACCTTTCTTTTGAGGTAGTGAACACATTCGTGAACTAATGGCAATATTTTATAAATGATTTCTCTGGTTAAGTGTTAAGCGTTAGGTTTTCTTTAAGTTATTTAATTAGTGTTGTGTCTCTAATTTTCAAATGGGCACTATGTTATTTGGCACTAAATAAGATCACATTAGAAAAGTCATGTTTTCCTAACCTGAATAAGAGAGAGATAAACAACATACTGGTTAATGCTCTACTTTATCTTACCTTCAATCCAAATTAAATATACAATTAATTGCATGAACTCTACTTCAATTGTGGAAACATTTTCAGAATGTGACATTCTCATAACAAATGAGCAACAGTAGTGGGGTTAGTCTGGTGTCCAGTTAGTTATTAGTACAGCAGTATGAACATGAAACTACTAACTTGAGAGTAGGAAAGTAGACCATTCCAAGATATGGGCAGATAACAAAATAGCATTTGATTTCCCTTTGTCCAGAGAAAAGCATTGACATAAAGTCACTTTTCAGAAAGGTGTAGTGCTTACTATTCTAATGTGGCACTTTTTAAAAAAATGGAACTTTCTTGAACATAATAACCACTTGGACTTATTAGCCCTAAAAAACATCTGACTTATATTTAATCAAGCCAAAGACAAGTACAAGTCTGCTCTTTGTAATGGTATCATAAATGGAGTATCAACCTCTCTTGCTAGCTTTTGACTCACTTTGTTTTTGTGAATTGATTCTTTAATATACCCTTTTCCCCTTTATCTAATCTCTAGTTCTTGTAAGACCCACCCTAAAATGGGAGCATTGATACCTTCCTGTCTAGCCTCATATAGGGATAAAATATAAAAATATATTTACCATAACTGTATATTAAAGAGCATATATTTTAAAGAAAATTATATATATCAATTATATGCCAAATATTTCACCCCTACTAAAATTTATACATGCAAACACAAATGCTAACTTCACATGTATTTTAAGGGACAGAGTAATAATATATTTTACCTGTCATATTTGTTACAGAGTATTGCCCTTACTTATTGATGAGAAAGATTAGACAAATATTATTACTATTTTACTAAAATTAAGTCACAGAGAGGTTGAAGGACTTCTCACGGTTAGTAACTGAGAAACCCGGACCCGTGCTCTTCCTACCACTTTATTGTGCCTCCCATAGACCATTTGTAAAGTAGCAATACAAGTGCATGTGTCAGCACACAGACCTCCAACTTTTGAGGTACACTAAGAGCTCCAGAAGTACTTGAATTCTACTTTCCAGCAGGGAAGAGAAAGGCAGGGAAAGAACAAATAAAAACTACGATTTATGGAACACTGACAATGTTCAGAGCCATGCTAAGCCATTCTAAACACTTCTGTCACATGTGGAATGACAGATTCTTTCAATGCTTCTTGTTGTAGATAATAGCATGGTGAAAAGTTCTAAGCTTCTTAGCTTGCTATGCTGATCCTCTAAAAAAATCTAACGTCTTATCACCCACCTTCCATAAATAAGTTACAAATGTTTTGTAAAGGTCAAATTTCTTTGAGTTTTGTATAGGATGCATATTGAAAATATATTAGTATAATATATAAAAACACAATTATACTCTTTTTACTTCTTTTAACTACTCTTTTTTGTATACTCAACTGATAGAAAAACACTAAAAATCCTCATTTCAAAGGAATCAAAATATGGAGGAAAATGATAATGGAAGTAGTGGAAAAATATTAAATGTTTGCTTGAATAACACTAAAAATGACCACATCCTATATTTCCCATAGACGTTTAAAATGCAGTTGCCAGGATATTGTAAGATTTTAATTGCAGGTTTTGCCTCACTCATTTTAAATGGTTACTCACCAATGCTGAGATAACATGACACTCATTTGGATTGTTTTCAAGAAAATAAGAGCACTTAAACATTTATGGAATAATAGAGACAAAGAGAAGAAATACTGATAAAAAAATACGCTTTCCTGAAAGCTAATAGGGGTTTGGTGAAATGTTGCCCAAATAAGCATTTGCATTACTGAGGTAAAGTAGATGAAACCTTAAGTATGTGAATTATTTCCAATGTTTTTTTTTATTTTCTCTTCCTTAATTTATTTTTTTTATTTTTAATTTTTCAATTACAGTTGACATATAGTATTACATTGGTTTCAGGTGTACAACACAGTGATTAGACATTTATGGACTTATGAAGTGATCACTCCAATAAATCTAGTACTTGTCTGACACCATACATAGTTATTGCAATACTACTGATTATATTACCCAGGCTGTACTCTACATCCCCTGACTATTTTGTAACTGTCAATTTGTACAACTTAATTCCCTCCCCCTCTTCACCCATTCCCCCTACCTTCCCCAATCTGGCAACCACCAAAATGTTCTCTGTATCTATGAGATTGTTTCCATTTTGTTTGTTTAGCCTGTTTTCTAGATTCCACATATAGGTGAAGTCATATGACATTTGTCTGTCTCTGTCTGCCTTATTCCACTCAGCAAAATACCCTCTAAGTACATCCATGTTGTTGTAGATGACAAGATTTATACTTTTTTTATGCCTCAGTAATACTCCATTGTATATATGTACCACCTCTTCTTTATCCATTCATTCATCCACTGATGGACACCCAGGTTGCCTCCATATCTTGGTTATTGTAAATAATGCTGCAATGAACATATGGATGCAAATGTCCCTTTGAAGTAGTGTTCTGGTTTTCTTCAGATAAATACCCAGAAGTGGGATTATGGGGTCCATTCATTGTCTCTTGTTATAGTCTTTGTGTTAGTCTATTTAGTCTTGTGTAAGTATTGCTACCCCAGCATTTTTTTTTCATCATTTCCATTTTCATGAAATATCTTTTTCCCAGTCCTTCCCTTTCAGTCTGTCTTTACATTTGAAATGAATCCCTTGTAGGCAGCATATATAAGGGTCTTGTTACCTTATCCATTCAACCACCCTATCTTTTGTTAGGAGCATTTAATCAATTTACATTCAAAGTAACTGTTGATAGATATGTAGTTATTGCCTTTTTATTATTAATATTTTTTATCGTTCTTTTTTTTTTTGTCTTAAGGAAGTCCCTTTAAGATTCCGTGTAATACTGGTTTGGTGATGATGAACTCCTTTAGATTTTTCTATTCTGGGAAGCTCTTTATCTGTCCTTCAATTCTTAATTATAGCTTTGTTGGGTAGAGTAATCTTGGTTGCAGGGCCTTACTTTTCATCACTTTGAATATTTTCTGCCAATCCCCTCTAACCTGCAAAGATTCTGTTGAGAAAATGTGACAATCTTATGGGAGCTCCCTTATAAATTACTAGTTGCCTCACTCTTGCTGCTTTTAAGATTCTCTCTGTCTTTAAACTTTGCCATTATAATTATGATGTGTCTTAGTGCGGGCCTCTTTGGGTTCATCCTGTTTGAGACCCTCTGAACTTTCTGGGCTTGTGTGTCTATTTCCTTCACCAGGTTAGGGAACTTTTCAGTTATTATTTATTCAAATAGGTTTTCAATTCCTTGCTCTCTCTCTTCTCCTTCTGGTACCCCTATGATGAAAATATTGGTACACTTGATGTTGTCCTGGATGTCCCTTAAACTATTCTCATTTTTCTGGATTCTTTCTTTTTTCTTTTTGCTGCTATGATTGAGTGTTTTCTGCTACCTTATCTTCCAAATGACTGATTTCATTCTCTGCTTCATCTAATCTATGGTTGATTCCTTCTAATGTATTCTTAATTTCAATTATTATTTTCTTTATTTCTGACTAGTGCTTTTTTTATATTTTCCATCTCCATTTTAATGTTTCTTATCTCTTTTTGAAGTTCTCCCTGAGATCACACAGCATCCTTATAACCAGTGTTTTGGACTAGGTATCTGATAGATTGTCTGTCTCCATTTTGTTTAGTTGTTTTTCTGGAGCTTTGATCTGTTCTTTCATTTGGGATATGTTTGTTTGTCTCTGCATTTTGGCTGCCTCCTTGTATTTGTTTCAATGTATTGGATTGAGCTGCTATGTCTCCTGGTTTTAGTACAGTGGCCTTATGTAGTAGGTATCTTGTGGGGCCCAGTGGCACAATCTCAATGGTTACCTGAGTTGGGTGATCTAGGTGTGTCCATTCCATTACTATTTCAGCACGTCTACACAGTATTAAATAGAAAAGAGAGATGCATGGTATTTGTGTGATTTTTCTAAGTGTTACCCCAATCTCT